AGAGGCAACACCACGCATCCCCTTTGCTCTCTCTGGCGGGGGGTGCCGGCGCAGGGACAGGATGCTCTGTCTGCCCGGAACACCTCCACGCCTTTGCTCGGAGCAGGAGCAGGGAGAGGGTACTCAGGATCATGCTGCATGGCCCCTGGATTGGAGCTTTCAAAGAGCTCAGGAAAAAAGGGCAGGGTAAGAGCAGCTGGGCTCTTGCAGCAGTTGCCCGTCTTCAGGGCCAAGCTGCTTCGAGACGAGGCCAGGATGGCCCCCGGGATTTGGACACCTCCATGGGGTCCTCGATCGCCCAACCGGGCTGCGTCAGGGAATGTGGGCAAGTAGCCTTTGGGGCTGAGTGGCTTTAATTCAGCTCCTGTGCGGAGAGCGTGTGGCAGGAGGATGCAAATCCCACGTTGGGCTGCAAATTGAGCATCGGAGCTGAGGGTAAAGCAACCAACCTGCCCTAAAACACTGTCAAGAGGCATTTTACTTTGCATCTCCACTGGGGGGGGGTGAGGGGGGCTTTGGACAACTCCATGGGCCTCCCACAAGAGCCCTGGGTCTCCCTCACAGCACTGGCTGGACCGAGTCAGGGCTGACCCATGGGGCTCTGGAGAGCCCGGAGCAGCTCGCGGAGTCCTGGGGGGGGGGACGAGGGGACGGGACAGGGGAGTGTGGCCCGTGGCTGTCCAGTGTTTCCCATGCCTGCCTGGCCGCAGCTCGGCCAAGCCCACAACCTGCACTGGCAACCGCAAACCTTCGGCGTGCTTGCCCGCCAGAGACAGCAAAGCCAGGCTCTGGGCTGAGACCGTGCATCCCCGCCACCGAACGGCTGCTGCGCTTTAAAACTGGACACGGCGGGTACGCAGGGTTAAAGCGACACGGCCAGGGCACTTTAGGACCCAACCTTAGGCTCTCTAAAAAAAGAGAAAGAAACAAGTTTTTAAAACCCTCCATGTTAGAGAAAAGGCCCTTCTTTTTTTTCTTTTTTTTTGTACAATTCCTCCTCCTGTGTGACCCGGAGGCACAGCTCACTTGTCTCCAGCTAACCCCTGCGAGAGGAAGCGGGAGGTGACCCACAGCGGCTGCTGCCAGGAGCTGTGCTGGGCTCTGGCTGCGTCCATCCCTGGCTACCCAGCACCTCACCTGGCCCAGGCTGGGCACCGATCCTGGCTCGACCCGTGTGCATCCAGAGCAACTGCCTGCTGCCGCCGGAATGACACGGGGGGAGCCAGAGCGAGAGCTCAGCATCTCCTTACCCACATCCCCAAGAGCACACCCAGCCCCGGCACAAGCTCACCCCGCTCGCCGCAAGCGAGGCACACCGCAGGCACCCATGGGTGCTGGCACAGCCAGGTGAGTTTGCAGCTGTGCTGTGGTGTGCCCAAAGCACACAGGGCTGTGCAAAACTCCCGACAAGCTGCAGGGATGGCTCCTCGCCACCTTGCTTGGGATTTCACTGCCGAGGACGTTTCCCCCTCCTGTCGTCGCCCAGCATCCCAGCCCGCTCAGACTCCAGTCACAGTTTTACCATAACAATTTGGGGAGCAAATTTAGACTTTCTCCCAGGAAGGTGGTGACTCGTTTCCTTCCTGAAAACGGGAGGGCGATGAATTTTGGGGCAAGCAGGGGCTGACCCCCCTGCTGCCTGGCTGCAGTTTGGAGCGAGGTGTTTTGCACAGCCCTTTTTTGCCCCTTGAGCCCCCCACCCCCTCCCAAGAGAAGAGAGAGAAGAAGGAAGGAGTGTTTACGCACCATCGGACTTACCCCGAAATTGGAAGCGGCAAAGCGATCAGAGGCTGAGACGTTGGTGGAAGCCGTGGTGTGGGCATAGTAGGCGTTGATGTTGGCTAGCAAGGTACTCATCACCGCTGGCACCCCCGGACACATGTACTTGGAGGAAAGGCAGGCGAAATGCCTGTGGAGAGAGGTGGAAAGTGACCCACGGGAGGGGCTGCCAGGTTTGGGGTGCATGGACAAAGAAGAGGAGGAAGGAGCGGACGCGGCGGGAGGTGGGTGCAACCAGCAGCAGGGGAGGAAGATGCCAAGAGTGACCCCCTTGCCCAGGGCTGGTGCAGCCCTTTGGAGCAGGGTGGAGGGCAAAGGGACTCACGTCATGGCTTGATAGATGGACTCCACCCCGTAGCGCATGGCAAACTCGTCCACAATCTCCTGCGCCGTCTCGTCAAAGTACACCTTCCAGGCATCGTCCCCCTTGGCATCGGGGATCTTCACCACCCCGTTGTTTTGCAAATCCGTCACAAAGTGGAACAGGTTCTGGAGATACAAACAAGTCCCATCAGGTCCCCAGAGCCAGCGGTGGCACAGTGGCATGGCTGGGTGGTGGCCATGCCCCCCCCGAGCCTGCCTGGGCTGCTCACCTCGTGCAGGCAGGTGTACTGGACGTGGTAGGGAGCCACCTTCTCCTCGCCTTTGATCTCCACGCTGATGTGGAGCCGGATGGCTCCTGACACAGCCGACTTGTCTGTTCGCTTGTCTGCAGGGGTACAGGGAAGGGGATGAGATGTGAGGCTTCCCCAGAGCAATTCTGCTCAGACCTGGCCCCAAAGAGGGGCAGACAGCTCCAGCACGGAGAGGCTCTCAGGGCCGGGACCAGGGGGATGCCCAGCGCCATGTGCAGCCAGGTCAGGGCACAATGCAAGCAAGGCATTGCAGAGAGGGATGTGGCTATAGCTCCTGGCACTGCAGAGATGTGGCCTCTCTGCGCCTCAGTTTCCCCTCTGCAGAGGGGTCCAGACCTCCCTGCCAAAGGGTTTTGAGAATGACCCTGAGAAAACCCTTGATCCCAATGGTTTTCAATATTATGTGTTTTTAACAGCAGAGTCTATACTCTATGTGCTGAAGCAGCCTTCATGCCAGGGCTGGCAGCATGTCCTCCCGGGAGCACGGGGCCAGGGGTCCCAGCCCGAGTGGGCCATGCCGGGGCAGCCAGTTACCAAGGTTGTACCAGACGTCCATCTCCCCACTCAGCGTCCGGACCTCGATGATCGTCTGGCCTAGAAAGTCATCAGACTCCCTCTTGAAGCGCTGCTTGACACGGGACTTGATGTCATCATCTTCATCCCAGACGCGGACCTTGATGCGGTCGGAGGAGTTATGACACTCGCTGGGGAGACAAGAAGGGACAAGCCCGGGATGAGCAGGGAATCTTTTCCAGCCTCTCCCCAGCCTCTGTTTCCCTAAACAAGAGGGACCACCCCAGCACCAGGCAGGAACTGGGAAGGGAGCAGATGTGGGGGCACCAGCTCTCCCCGGTGGGCTGGGCAAGGCTGCTCTGTGCCCCGGCAGCCCTGACACAGCCTGGATCAGCCCCCAGACGCTCCACGGCACAAAACCATCACTCCCAGTCACCCCAGCAGCCCCCCTCCACCCTCAGCTGGGGCAGGACAAGGCCCCAGCTGACTCCCCACCAACTCAAAGGGATGTACCAAGAGCCCGCGCAGCCCAGCATGACCACCAGCGGCTAGGAATGGGGATGGGGCAGCCCGAGGTGAACTTACAAATGGAAATTCTCCTCCCAGACCGGGTTGAGATTGCCGTAGATAGTTTTAGTCCTTTTTTTTGTCTTTCCAACCTGGACAGTGACATACGGGTCACTGGAACCTGTCTTATCCTTTGCTTGCAGGCCCTGGGCACAAACGACTGCAGCACGGCATGGCACACACACCCATCCGCACGAGGCACGTGCGTGGCACAGACGGCAGAGAGAACAGACAGAGAGAGAAGTCAGAGCCACAGCAACACCAAGATCCCCACAACAGCCACCTCGTGTCCCCGCACAGAGCCCTGGGGGCTGGAGTCACTTTGCAGGATGAGGGCAGGAGGGGGGCTGGAGCACACAGCATCCTTGTACAAGGGGACAGCTACACAGTCCCCCCCTGGCACACGGTCCCCCCCCCCGGGCACACGGTGCCAGGCACAACCAGAGCCTACCTGTGATGCTGATCTTGGCTGACCATTTGGAGGTGCCGTCCAGGACACTCTGCTTCACTGCCTTCATCTGCTGTGTGTGCGTGGTCTTGGTGACCCCAAACACCTCCTGGATCAGCTCAAATATCTCCGGCTTATTGCGCTCCCGGATCTTCATGCGGTCCTTGAGCACCATGATGATATTCTGGGTCCGGTCCTCTGCTCCATGCTTGGAGCTTTTCTCTGCTGCCCCTGGGAGAGGACAGCCATCGGTGAGAGAGTGGGAAGGGATGGGGTGCAGGTGGCATCCAAGAGAGAGCCGAGAGCTGCCCAAGCCCACCATGAATGAATGAATTCAAGCCTGGAGGGGTGCACACCCTGCCCAGCACAGATCTGCCCCACTCACCACTCCCCCCATGCACAAGGCAGGAGTCCGGCTCTCCCTGGGCCCCTGCCCCCTCCCTCTCCAAAGTGAGAATCACAGAATCCCAGAAGGGTTTGGGTTGGGAGGGACCTTAAAGCCCACCCAGTGCCACCCCCTGCCATGGGCAGGGACACCTCCCACTAGCCCAGGTTGCCCAAAGCCTCATCCAGCCTGGCCTTGAACCCCTCCAGGGATGGGGCATCCACAGCTTCTCTGGGCATCCTGGGCCACTGCTTCACCCACCTCAC